GCACTTCCCAAGCGGCGCACTATCCAGTGCGCCACCGGGCCGGCCCTTGGGGGTGTTTTTTTGTTGGTTTGTTTTGTTTTGTTTTGGTGACTCTTGTTTGACTCTGCTTAGAACTTTTTCTACTTCAGACTTTTGTTTTTGTTTTTGGTTTTTTCCCCCAGATTTCCCAATTCCCTTTTTGGAGTACTTTATTGCAACTATATTTTTCAATTTACTTTTTCTCCCATTCCTTTTAGGTAAATATTTTCATTTTAGCTTTCAGGTTATATTTTCTTGAACTTACTCTAAGTAACTACTTCTTCCTGATATAGTTAAACAGAGAATAAATCAGCGTTTGGATGATTATTGACTTCATATTTCCTTTTTCATTTTTCTGTCCTCTAGAGAATCAGTGGTGAAGACGGTAACTGAAATACCCTATGTTACACATTTGTTTGGATCCTTTTTTCATGGAAAGGTCCTTTATCCATCCTATTCAGATTTCCTATATGGTACAAATCAAAATTATGGAAGCTTTTAAAAATAATGTTTATAGAATTGCTAGTTCCATAAATATGTTCTTTTCTGTTGAAGTCAGCAGGAAGGTGAGAAGGGTCCCAATCATGTGATTCCCCAACACTCTTCTGGAATCCTGTCCAATGAAATCAAACAAGGGAAGCCAAGACACGTAAGTATTAGAAAGGAAGGGATGAGAATATGGCAATTTAAAGACGATATGTTTGACTACCTAGAAAATCCAAGAGAAGCATTTTATCTTAAGAATTAAAAAAAGAGAGACATATTTAGAGTGGAAATTTCAAAAACACAGAAAACCAAAAAGAAAATGACTAAAGTCATTCATAATCCCTAAACCAGAGGAAATCATTATTAAAAATGAATAGTTTGGTTCATACCTTCTATTAAGATTTTGCACCTATGTGTATATGCTTATGTGTGTGTGTACATAGTACCTTTATTGCAAACATCTTATCCCTATTTATTCTGCCTTGGATTTTACGTGAGATATAAAGTGACCCTACAGAAGGTATTTTTAGCTTTATCCTGAACAGAAGGTTAACCCCGGCTGTGAGAATGGTGTTGAGGACAGAGCATCCCACTCAGGACAGAGGACAGGGACACAAGGCCTGACTGTAACTCTAAAGCCTAAAAAGTTCCAAAATACAAAAACATTGAGCTGGCCAGTTAGCTCAGCTGGTTAGAGTGCAGTGTTGATAACACTGCTGTCAAGGGTTCAGATCCCCATACTGGCCAGCTGCCAAAAAAGAAAATTTAAAACTCATATGGTTGCAAACTTTGACCTAAAATGATAGGAGGCTATTCAGTCTTTATCTAACCTAATTAGTGTTAATATTCATATCATATGAAAATATATCACTGCATTATATTACAGGGAACTTCGGAGGACCCACTGGGTGGGGGGTTATGCTCTTATACCTTTTTAAAATCCAAAATTTTCTAAATTCTGAAACACAAATGATCCCCAGAACTTCAGGTATGGGCTACGTACCTGCAATATACTGGGCAGTATCCAGGGACACCAAAAGATGGAAATATGCGTGCTACAGTCCAAGAGCTCAAAACCAAAATTCAGATGGCGAGATATGTGCACAGGAAAAGTGTAAAACCTTTCAAATAAGCCTTTAAACAAATATACACTCCTAGTCTGTACTGAAGTGAAGGAGTCTACGGTACTGCCTGTGAGTGTTTATTTAATATCGGCATGCCCAAAACTGTACCAAATCATGTTTGATGGATGGAGCCCTGTCCTAAAATACACGAGATGTGCTTGACAAGGTAGAGAAAAAAAGATTATTTATAATCGCTGTGTTAGACTCTTCCAGTTGGAAGCATCAGAAACCTGATATTATAGATTAAGCAAAAGAGGAACCTATTGGTTCCTGTTTTTGAAATGTCCAGGCTTGGATGAACCACCTGATGTTGGTCGCTCCCCTTCACTCAGTCCTGCTCTTGTCTTTGGTGTTTCTTTCTCAGGCAGGCTCTTTCCACAAGGTGGGAAAGGTGGCCAAGCCGTGCTCAGTCTATGGTCCCTGCAGACTGCAATCCCAGAAGGGAAGACAGAGGTCATCTCTTGCCCTGCATCCATCTCGGTCTCTCAAAATGACCTAGTTTGGCTCACAGCTGGACTGATGACTGTATCTTGGGGAGTGGGGGACACTGACCAGCACGAGTCACATGTTGGTGGGGAGAGGATACAAGGCTTTGTCATAGTCATCTCTTGCCCTGCATCCATCTCGGTCTCTCAAAATGACCTAGTTTGGCTCACAGCTGGACTGATGACTGTATCTTGGGGGGTGGGGGACACTGACCAGCACGAGTCACATGTTGGTGGGGAGAGGATACAAGGCTTTGTCATGGACAACCACTATAGTCACATAAAAAAGGAGAGGGGCAATTCCAAAACCAAACGGTGCTGGGGCAGATTAATAATAAAATAATAATAATAATTAAAAAGAATAGGTGTCTCTAACCTAGCATCTTCTTCCTAGGAGAGATCCCTTTGCAGAAGTGGTCACAGGATGAGAACAGAGAATGAAGGGAGTCTAAAGGAACCCAGTCACTCTGGTCAGTGTTGAGGTTTCTGCATATGAGTAGGGACAATATTCACAGGTGGATTCAAGAGAAATGGCATAAGAAAGAGCTTTGGAAGTGCCTTGTGCTAAATAGGTGAGTCTTAAGGAAACGTTTAATGGAAAGAAGAGAAGTGTGGGGGTGGGAGGAATGGAAGAAAACGTTATCGTTAGGGGGTGCAGCATTTGCCTGTTTAAATGATTTCCCCCTGGCTGAGTCTAAATTGGAATATTCTTGTGAGTAGTTCCTTTCCCCTTAATATGAGAACTTCCTGGCTCTCTTCTGGATTGAGACAAATTTGTGAGGACAGGCTCATGCTTGATAGATATAGCCCTGACCTAAAATACAGAAGAAATGTGCTTGACAGGGGGAAAAAAAGGTCATTTATAATCTCTATGTTTTAGACTCTTCTAGTTGCAAGCATCAGAAACGAGACTTAATACGAATTAAGCAAAAAATAAATCTGTTGGCTCTTTTGGAGAACTGTTAAGAAGCAACAGACAATTCCTGACTAAGTGTTGATCCTGTTACAATTCTGATAATTTAGACCAATAGTCTCCTATATTTAAGCTGCAATAACTTTCTAAATAACTTGTTGAAAGTCACCCAGGGGATGATTTGTTGATGTTCCAGAAAAGGGAGATACAAAAGCAAAGGGACTGTTCCTGGAATTTTTCTAAATAATTAAGTTACAGTTGCTATTTGCAAGTCACTGCAGAGGAAATCTTCCAATAGATGCTACTTATTCAGTCATGTGTGCACACCTAGATACTTCTTAGGTTAACATTGTAATTATATTTGCATCATCCTGTGTTTTGCTAAAGATGGACAAAGATTAAGTCTTAAATGCAGAAGTCAGAAAGAGAGAGAAGATACACCTAGATACTTCTTAGGTTAACATTGTAATTATATTTGCATCATCCTGTCTTTTGCTAAAGATGGACAAAGATTAAGTCTTAAATGCAGAAGTCAGAAAGAGAGAGAAGATACATTTCTGATGCCCTGGAGTAACCCTGATCTGCCGACTTAGACAAACACAAAGCTGGACAGCGTCCAGCTGCAGACCAACCCCCAATCCATTATCATGTACTGAAGACTGAAGAAGGAATAAATGAAACCCATAATGTGCTGAGCATTTTACACAAATCATCTTTGGAATGATCTTACACAAATCATCTTCTCACAGCACCGAAAAAGATAGCATTATCCCTATTTTAGTAGATAAAGAAAATAAGGCTCAGAGACTCACTTTTCCCTGGCCATCCAGCTCTGAAGAGGAGAAGCCAGGAATCTAAATCTAAACTGTCTGATTTCAAAGCCTCAGCAAGACTGTGGGTCCGGCTTCATACTGGGTTGTGTCTTTGAGGGATGATAATGCTGCTTAATATCTAGGTTTTTTTGTTTGTTTGTTTTCTTTCACAACTCCTCCTCTCCTTAATATGTATTGATTTATTATCAAGATACAATGTCAAAAGCACAATCCGAGGAACTGGGAATACAGAGAGAATTGCATAGTCTCTGTCTGCCGGGAGTTCACAGACTCTGGGGCGAGAGAACCCAAACACGAAACAGTAAACAACCGAGCAGCCAGTGCCAGGGACTCCTACTGATCCCCCAGTGCCTGTTTCCCCTTCTTCTTTAGTAAGACAACCCTCCTGCCTTCTGCTGCGAGCTAGGAGTGCAGCCATCTGCAATACAGACTACATTTCCCAGCCTTTCTTGAAGCTTAGTGTGACTAAATTCTACCCACTGGGATGAAAGCAGAAGTGACAAGTGCAGCTTCCAACAGGGACTCTCCGGTGGAAAGAGCGACCCGTTCCTCCGTCCTGCTGTTGGAGCTTCAGCAGCCTTCTTGAATCAGGAGATGAGTGTGGCCATGGAAGTCGCTCCTGGCAGAGCTAAGGACAGAAGAGGCCCAGTAATCTGCCTTCATACGGCACAGCCTCTACCCTGGACTGCCAACCTCCACTCTTTTATGTGAGAGAGAATTAAACTTGTTATCTTGGATTCTTGTCAATGTAGGCAGACTTAATCTTCAGTACTAAAAGGGCACAGCTCTCCCTGCCCCTACCTACCCCCCGACCCCTACCCAGCCACCCACCCCCCACATCCTACTATGAGACCTTCATTTAGCAAGTGACTTAACCTTTCCCAGGGTGGCTGGGGGAACCCAATGAGATGAACCAATGAGAGACCAGGAGAAAGCACAGGGGGCTTTTATTTGGCCTGCTGTGATGCAGTGTGCATGGCTAGGAGGAAAAAAAAATGAAAAAAGCTAATACACATGACTAATCAATTCACAATTTTCTGAATGCTTAAGGAGTAACATGAGCAGGGTGATGTCTAAAATTGTGTAGCACAGGCTCTATGTTCTGTGAGGATTCAGAAATGAGAAAGGCCACGTGCTGGAGTAAATGATTAAAGATTTGGTGAAGGACATGAAATAGGCTCTGGGTGCTAAGGAATGAATTTGATTTATTATGCAAGTCATGACTCTTTCAGCTACCAGTTATGGAAACTCAACCTAACCCTGCTTTTAAAAAAAAGGGCCGGCCCGTGGCTCACTTGGGAGAGTGCGGTGCTGAACACCAAGGCCACAGGTTCGGATCCTTATGGAGGGATGGCCGGTTAGCTCACTAGGGAGAGTGTAGTGCTGACAATACCATGTCAAGGGTTAAGATCCCCTTACCAGTCATATTTTTTTTTAAAAAAATGGGGTGGGGAAGGGGTTGATGGCCGGATTGTGTAATTAAAAAGGCAAAAAATAAGCTCAGGGAAGGCTGGATAGAGACCAAATGATGTCACTAGGATGTGGTCTCAGCTCTGCTTTCCTGAGTCTGTTGTGTTTTCACAAGGCAAGGGGTGGCATCTGGCAGCTGTGGATTTGCAACCAATCAGCTTAGCAACCAAGGTGGAGAAACCCCCTTTCTTAGGGCTGCAGAAAAGTCCTCAACCTACCCACTCACTGTGACACTGATTACGCAGACCTGGGTCACATTCCCACCACTGCAGCGGGTGAGGCAGAAGAGTTCGATGTAGCCTCAGTCCCACCCAAACTGCATGGATGAAGAGTTCAAGAAGGGAGGTTGTTGAAAGGAAAAGTGAGGTGCTGTTGGCAGTAGAAGGTAAACAGATACTGAGAAGAATGTTATGCAAGTTTTAGGGCAGAGAGGAGGAAAAACGGATACAAAGCCTGGAGTGAGTGGAACAGAAGGCTGAATGGAAAACAAAATTCATGTAGACAAGAAGCGCGCTGGCAGGGGACCCCTTCGTCCGTACTGCATTAGTTTACTCTGGCTGCCATAACAAATAGGTGGCTTAAAGAACAGAAATTTATTTCTTACAGTTCTGGAGACGGGAAATCTAAGACCAAGGTGCCAGCAGGGTTGGTTTCCTCTGAGGCCTCTCTCCTTGGCTTGCAGGTGGCCGTCCTCTTGCTGCCTCTTCACAGGGTTGTCCCTCTGTCAAAGCACGCCCTTAACATCATCTCTTCCTCTTCTTATAAGAACAGTCAGACTGGAGTAGGGCCCACCCATATGACTTCACTGAACCTCGATCACCTCTTCAAAGGCTCTATCTCTAAATACAGTTACATTCCGAGGTACTGGGGGTTAGGACTTCAACATCCAAATTTGGGTTCAGGGGACATAATTCAGTCCATA